AGTTCTGTGTGTTAAATATCTAGGTGTTTTTATGTGAATGTGGGTCTTTTAGATCAATTTTAGTGATTTTGATCATGTTTCACATTTTATTGTCACGTACTGGCGCTGGTCTTGGTCTTGACTCGGTCTCGGGTTAGGTGGTCTTGACCACAACACTGACTATGACCTCAGCAGCCTTTATTCAGGAGTTGCACAGAGTTCACAGTCGTCATGAACTATAAATGAATCTGGTCCTTGAATTTCAGGGAATGGATCCTAAGTAGACCTTGAATTTGAATTCAAGGCATGGGAACGCTGTTATTACTTTATCTGGCTGTACTTTAGCCGTGCATAATTGAAATAATTATATAATTAACTATCAAAAGAAATTGAAGTTTTACATTTGTAACATGATAGGCTACATTCCTATTTTTCAAAGTATTTCACTGCATTTTACTTTTAAATGTTAAGATTTCGACCTTCTATTTGATAAATAAAATACAGCAACATAACATTCAGAGTCCATGTCTACCTTCTGACTTCACTGATGCATTTAGATTTAGATGTCTGACTGCAAATTCTGCATGAAGACTGGAACATTGGGATAATTTAAATGGTTTAAAACACTGATGAGCACATAAGCATCAGCTCGTAAAATTTACAACCAATAGATGTTATAATAATGATCATTACTGTTATTTAAAAATGTTTCATTAAACCTTGTAACAAATTCAACTGTAGTTCAGACAATTGAAGGGTGGAGATCCTACCGCGATATCGACCCTGATAGACTGGAGGTTAATTGGCTCTACCCATTGTTTGATTAATGTAATTTATCCCTTACATGTTCTGCTCCACTCTCACTGAAATGTGCAAGAGTGACCCAATTGTACAAAAGTGGTGATTTTTAACATCCATAATTAATAGTTGTAAAAATATTCGGGCAACATTTTTTTTTCTTACTCAATTATTACAATATATAAACTCTTATATCTCCTTTTCAATCTGGTTTCTAACCAAAGTTTTCTGCCATTAGCAAAGCTGCTAATATTTGATGCAAATGTAAAAGCAGATGGTATATTTATCGATTTAACTAAAGCATTTGATTTTGTTGATCATTATTTCATTAAAGACAAATATATTATTGCTTTGTCAGGAAACTTTGGTTCATTTAATATTTTCATCACAGGGTTTTTCAGATTTTAAATTTTTATCATCTTTAGGTCCTTTTTAATTATTTCCTATTTTTATAAATAGTCTACCATAAATTTGCTTTAGTTTGCAACAACAAACAGGCTTTAATTGGAAGGCAACTGGACTTTCCTTCAGGGATTTGGAAACATAAACAGAAAGTTTATGTTTATGCGTTATTGCCAAACATTTTGCAACAATTTTGGCTTTATTGGTTGGAAAATACCCACACCACAAAACAAAACAGCAAACAAACTTTATTTCCAAAGTTGGACATTTGGGACCTGCTCCATTTTAAACTGTTGTTTCTTTTGATGTTACCTCTGTCCAGTCCTGCATTACATTCTCTTAACTTTGGAGGAGCAAAGATGCATTAATTGAACATTAAAAACAACAATATGCTCATCACTCAAAAAATGTGATGTAATTGATTGATTGACTTTTATTGATCTCACATTGGATCTCACAGTGGGGGGTATGGTATATACAGTATATATAGTGCATCCACACGTGTGTGTGTATTCTTTTTTTTGTTTGTTTTTTGTAATTCTTAAACTCAAACTGAAAAACAACAACAACAAAAAAAAAATAAATAAATAAATAAAACCCCTCAGAAATTATGGAATATGTTTTCCAGATTTTGAATAACAAACTTTAAAATGTAACTTTAAAATGTAAAATAACAAACTTTAAAATGTAACTTTAAAATGTAAAATTTTACATTTCCTCCACGGATCTGATTGCACTTAATGTATAATTATTCATTTTAAAATTCCTTAACAACCTGATAACAACTCAATATTCTTAGTTGTGTGTGTTTTTGTGTGTTCGGTTTCTACTAAAAACATATATGGATATAATGAATTATATATATTACTCCAGCACATAGACGGGTCCACCAGCGCCAGCCTTACAGGCTGGTGATATTGCTCCAGCACATAGACGGGTCCACCGTCGCCAGCCCCAGAGGGTGATGATATTGCTCCAGCACATAGACGGGTCCAGCCTCTCCACTTCCTCCCTCTGTCACAGAGTCATGTGATACGTGCTGCCTGTCCGTTGTCTGTCGGTTCAGGACTGAAGTTAGTTAAAGTTGAAGTTTTCTGCTTTGAGACGCTCCTGCTGTTTGAAACAATGGCGGATCAGACGTTCACCATCTCCATCTGTGTCATGACTTTGTTCTGGGTCATTGTTGGAGGAGTTGTTCCCTGGTTTGTCCGCAAAGGACCGAACAGAGGGTAAGTTTTTGTTAGCTCACATTAGCTTCCAGGTGGTTACAACCAGCCAGCATATAGCTACATTTATATTAAAGTTTATATATGTCTTTTTTTGCGTTGGGTTGCGTTTTATTTGTAAATTATGTTCGTTTAAAACGCTCTATATGCGCGACTTTTAGCTTTAAATAAGTTTGTGAACTTCCTATTTAAGTTAAGGTTAGCTAAATGATGCTAATTTCACAGCCTTGTTAAAGTATTTATGAATTCCGGTGAATTTCAGTAGGTTTTTAAAGTTATTGTCTTAAATTAAGGCATTGCTCTAACCAATGTAAACACACCGTATCCTGGTAATGTATTTAAAACGATAGAAACTTTGCTAAAAGTTTAATTCACCAAAATGAAGACATTTTTTCTTTCTTTTTTTTTCCTCCACAGAGTTATAGTCACAATGTTGGTGCTAACTTCAATCTGCTGTTACCTCTTGTGAGTATTTCCATCAGGAATGTGTGAGTCATTGCTAAATATAAAGTGAACACTGGAGGGACAGAAAAAGATGCTTTTGTTTCGTTTTATTTCTTATAATATTGGCCTTAATTTAACATTTGTGCCTTTATCTGCTGTTCTGCTTTGTAAAGTATTTTGATCCTTTATATTTTCAGTATAAAACAACTAAATAAACCACCATAAATAACTTTTCATAATCTTTTTCATAATTGTTTTAACTTAAAAATCCATCCTGTTTCTTATGGGTTGTCCTGTATTAAGCTCCAGCCATCTCTCATTTCAAATGGACCATTTTTATTGTTAAAGTTATGCCTATGCTGCCACCACCGTGTTTCAGAGTGAGGGTAATGTGTTGAGTGGGAGTTTCTGCTACACAGAGCTCTATGATTAGTGCAAATGTTCAGGCTGCAAAAAGGGATTTATTTTTGATTCATTCTGACCCAAGATTTTTCTTTCCACCTTTTTTGGGGGAGAAGCCTGTTTTTTTTTTTTTTTTAAGTCTTTTACATCTCCCCAACAATTCTCCCACCTTAGCTGTTAATATCTGCAATTTGCTGCTTCTCTGATTAAGTTACTGCAAAGAATCCTGTAGATTTAGGTGGGGACCAAAGTCTTGTTGGGTTTAAATGTTCCAATTTGTTTTCTTTCTCAGATAATAGATTGAATAGAGCTTTTTTTTTTTAGCTTCACTGCAACATAAACCGTAACTGTGCTGTATTCCCTTGATATTATTCAGTAAAACACCTCATCCCTTCACATTAATACTGGATTTATATATTCCTAGAATTATTTACACACACTTGTAATCTATTGACTAATTAGATAACTTCTAGAAGTCATTTGGGTGCCCTGGAGGTTACTTAGGGGTCTAAAAACCTACTGCTTTGTTTCTATTCAGTACTCACTACTTTATTTTTGTCTATCTCAGTATCCCAACAAAATGTTATCTGACAAAATATGAACTAGTTAAAATAGTGTGATGTACTATAGTTATGGCCACACTAAAGCATGTTTCTCTACATGTTAAATTCAATTTATTTGTACAAATCATTTTTTGTTAAAATGTCCTCCTTAACTTGAAAGAATGCATACTAACTCCTGCTATTATATTTAATTGTTTAATATTCGTACATTAAATAAAGAGTGTGGTTTTTAATTATTAACATGTTGTAGTCCAACTGTGCTGCTGATGTTACACGAGTCACCAGTAGAGGGCGGTAGAGGCTAAGCTGTTTTCCAGCCTCAACAGCAGTATTCAGTGTAAACAGGGTATTACACTTTTCCAATGAAACTGATTGTCTTTTTGAAATGTGTTTTGCTATAAAGTTAATAAGTTATCTTTTTTATGTGCTTTCCATCAGCTGGTTGATAGCAATACTGGCTCAATTAAACCCACTTTTTGGTCCCACCCTCTCAACCGACGTCATCAGATACCTAAACTATACCTGGGGTTAACTTGTCTTCCAACCATGCAGGTAAATGTGTCCTCATCAACTAAAATTACTTTTAAAAACTAGTTTTGGTGAATATCCTGACTGTTTTTTTTTTTTTTTTCATGAACTGTTTATTGTAGTTTTCCTCTGGCATCGACGGGCTCGACAACTGATGAAGTCCCCTCTGGAGACCATTCCTTAACTCACTTTAAACCCAGAACCCTGTGCAATTAGTTTTGGAGTGCAGGCCACACAAGTGCCTTGTTGAAAGTGATCTTAATAGATGATACTTGATTTTCTGTACTTCAAATTAATGCAGGATTCACTTGCTGTGGTGTTTATATGTTGTGTACACTGTGTGTAATATAAGTGTGAACGATTTGAACGTTGTAAAAATGAGCTTTGCTGATTTGTTTACTTGCTAATGATGAATGCCTTATATATTTCAGTGGTAATAAACTAATCATTTCCACTAATGTGGCCTTTTTTTCTTCATTTTTATGCAATTATTATTCTGTATTTATTTATTTCTACTTATTTTCTCTTTAATTTAATAATTTATAAACGCAAGTTTCGTTCCAAGAAATATACGAATTTCATAGTTTAAAAATATATAAATATAGAGCTTTTTGTGGTCCCTTTAAGTAGTGTTCGGTATTTATCCGGATGAGAAGGTTCCCTTCCTGTTGCCGTAGTTTTAGCCGGCTACGTCAGCAATATGGCGTCTCCAGATGTCCACGTCCGAGTGTGTGAGCAAGAAATACTCAAATATGATCTGGAAATCAAGGCTCTCATCCAGGTGCGAATGTTTCCCTGGTAAGACCATTTAGGGCTTTTTTAAAAAAAATCCTTGCAGTGACTCTGCTGTTAGCTTCCATGCTACATCAGAGCGGCGGCAGGTAGGCTATGATCTGAACAGCAGAGAGGTGCGTTCTGGGAAAGATTGGGAGTTATTAAAGTTTGTAAGGTTTCCTACTAATTGTGCTTTAATTTTGAGATTGAAAAGAGCAAAAAAAAAAAAAAACACATTGTAACCCGCTAGTTCATTATCTTTTCATTAAATCAAGCTTCAGTTGGCAGCACAGACACCGCTGAAAGAAACACTGAGATGTATCTAATAAAGGGGAAACATTTAAGTGAGAAAGTTCGATTCTTCATGATTTCCTACGTAGAAAGCGAGAAGATTGAGAGTTCTAATATGGCTCCCCTTCAGGGGCGGTTCTAGACAAGTACGGCCAGTGGGTTATCATGGGGTCAAATTAAAAAACAAACAAAAAACAGGTCAATATTTTTATGTCGACGAAATAGTGAAATATCTACATCATTTAGTTCAATTCAAATTTGATGTTGCTGTTGTTCATTAAAATCACTATACCTCTGTAATATTAAACAAAATATTAATTAGTCATAAAAGTGATGGTGTTGAGTGACCACATACCGTAAATCCTCTAATATAGTACGGGGCCTTTATTTCACTCGGATACATCTTGGTCTAGGCCATTATTGGAAGGAGGCCAGAATTAGAGGCAGGCCTCTATTTCTATTTGAGCAAAACAGACTACCAGTGGAATGAATAAAAACTAGATTTTGTGTCTCTTTGAACCTTTAAAATATTAGGTTCATTTATTGAAAAAGTACAGTTACCATAACGGTATACAGAACATTATTCAGACATCTTTCAGCAGCTGCAATTTTTCTGCACGTCAATACGGGAAAAAAAAAAAAAAAGACACAGAATGGAATCTTGGCCAAACTGACTCGCGAAACAAAGTTTTTTAAAAAATTAATGGAAACTGTTCTGCCATCACAGCAAAATTTTAATTGAGGCAGGCTAAGAGGAAGTAGGCTACCAGTATCGTATATTTCAAGGGAAATTCAGAACAACGAAGGCCAACGAAATTCAACGAAAGTCATTTTAATGCTGCCTGGTTACAACCTGACCCACCCGTAATCACATTTGTCTTTCAGATCAGAATGATTGTGTAAGGTCACTACGATCTCTGTGTAAGGATGGGACTTCCCATGCTAATGGCTTGGATTCGTTAGCAAACATTGCCCCCCTGTGGTACTTGTATGTTACTATCACAAGTTGTTGAGGACTGCCCAGGAACATCGTTGGTTTCTAATTATAGCCCCGGCCTGTATACGAGTCCGGCCCTTATTTACCTCCGCCGACAACGAGACCGGCCATTGTTAGAGTCCCGGCCGCTAATGGAATACAGGCCAATATTAGAGGATTTACGGTAAGTCACATTTGATGATGATAGGTGCAGCCAGTGTCATCACCAGCAAAGTTACTGTTACAAAATAATAAAGGGCTCTACTCAATCTGTTAATGATATGATCTATATTATCCCTGGTATCGAGCAATAAAATACCTGTTTGAGACCAACAGCTTGCCGTCCCTCTAATATCCCCTCAGATGCTGAGTTCATTTTGCACATTATATTTCTCCAAAATGATTTGTCGACACCCTTGTAATCATCTCAGGACCCCATTTTAAGAATGGCTGCATTAACATGTAACACTTACAGTAATAATTTGATTAAAGTTGCATTTAGTGAGTAATGAAAACATTCAAATAAAAGTAGAGGAGTTTTATGATTAATAGTTTTCTTAATTTTGATTAACTATGCTACTGCGTGTACAAAATTGAGGTAATGATGGATTAATTTGTAGCTCTACAAATTTTTTCCTTACATTTTAAATATATAATGTTGACCCTATGGGAAAAAATACAAACCCTTTACTCTAAAAAATGTTAAAAGTAATCATCCTTTTTTTATTTATTTATTTTTTTTATTTTATTTATAAAAAAAAAAAAAAAGTAATCATCCATCTTTCTTTTTGCGTTTTTTAGATTTAAACAAAAAGCAAATATTTTCTAGGTCTGCTTTATTTATTTGTTTGCTTACAAACATCCCGTCTCCTCCCTTTTCCCCAAGACTTGTTCAGCTCCCGCTGTAGAAATATCTCTTATATATTTATAGAAAACATTTGAATTCAGAGGTAAAAAAAGGACAAAAAAATGTGCAAATTTAAATAGAATTAATGAGAATTACAGTTTTTCAATATATCAAATCACAATCATCATGATGTCATGTTCAATTAGATCTTACGCTTTAAATATGCTGACATTTTTAACTCGTACTTCAATTTATTTTGTGTCAAATGACATTTATTTAGAAATCCTTTCCTCCCTGCATCTGGGGGTATAAATACGGCATATTTAAAGAGTATGTCTAACTTTATTATGTTTAACATTTAAATGCAGCTTCTTTAATTTTTGATATTATTTAGTAAAATTCTTGAACTTAACACTACATAAATAAGGAAACGACTTTTCAGTGGGTTTGGTTCCTTTGGGGGTTTTTTCCGACCCAAAGCGAGGGCGCCGTGTCCCAGACGGTGTGTTTACGTTGGGGAAGAGCGTCACGTGAAATTCTTAAAACCAAACATTGATGTATTGCTGGATGTTTGCAGCATCATCCATCTTCTCTCCACAGGACATCACAGAGTGCGACGGCCCTCAGAGCGAGCTGGAGGAAATAAACGCAGATGTGAAAAAACACTTTCAAAACCTCAGGTTAAGGATTGAGGTGAGAGTTGTTTTATTTTTGTTATTAATTAGGAACAAAGTGATCCATCAGATCCTTTGAGAACAATGTTTCAATAAAAAGTTGCTTTGCTGTTTTAACAGGACTTTGAGCGCATTGCAATGGAGCAAGACAGAGAGTCGGACAAACAGGCCCTGCTTGGCCGAGTCGACGGACACAGAAAGCAGATGCTGAGGTGATCTCTTTCAGATAATCAGCCGTTTCATATATATGACGACACCGTTAGCCATGTTGGGCGCGTTACTTTGAAAAAGTAATTAGTTATAGTTACTAGTTACTTCTCCTGAAAAATAACTGAGTTAGTAACTGAGTTACTCCAAAATAAAAGTAACTAGTTACTAGTAAAAGTAACTATTGCGTTACTTTTGCTAGTGTATGAAATTAATAACTGGGGATGTCTAATTCTGAAATCCTGTGTTTGGGTTGTTACTAGGGATGCACGATATAATCGGCCCCCTATCGGTATCGGCCTTAAAACTGAATATCGGACATCGGCTACCCCACAGATATTTAACCTGATATTTGATCAGCTTCTGAGTTTCTAAAGTCTAAAAAAAAAAAAAAAACTACTTCTTCTTCTTCCTCAAAAACTTCTTTTTTACAGACTTAAAAGCTTCTAAAGACGAGGGAAAAAATATTGATACATTAAAATATCCCAATATCTTCATATGCTGATATATTGCCATTTAAAAACACCATATCAATCTCTTTTACTAATGAAATATTGCTATATGTCATCGTTATGCTACGAAATCCCCCGAAAATTCACGAAATGTTGCCATATTTTTATATGTTGATATATTGACGCGGTATCGATCTATTTTACTAACAAAATCTCACAAGAATTAGCAAAATATCACGAGAGTTTGTAACAGAACGATGAAATTTCACGAGATTCTGAAAGTAAAATAGATCGATACCGCGTTTTTAAAAATCAATTTGATATCAGCATATGAAAATATATTTGAGTATATTATTTTTTTAAAGTGTCAGAAATGGATAACAAAACTGCTATTTTCAATGACTACTTATTTTTGTCCAGTTTTAACATCAGTATCGATATCGGTTATCGGCTACATGAGTTTTAAAATATCGGCATATCGGATATCGGCCAAAATCCCAATATCGTGCATCCCTTGTTGTTATAGATACTGCAAGATGTAGCTATATCCATCCATCCATCTTTCTCCCTTTCTCCATATAGGCTAATGATCGTTCACGCTCTCCATAGTTCCCCTGTGGCACAGGGCGGCTGTTATGCGCCTTTAGCCAGCATGCGCGTTTCCTGACGCTTGCGCGGTGAATCGTGTCGCCGCGCTGTGCGGAGATGCAGGGGAAACCGTAGCTGATGTGGAAACGCAGCTCGACGTAACACCAGTATTTCCATCTGGAAGGCGCTGTTTTGCCGCTGGAGTCCTCCTCACTCTCCATCCTCCCCTCTCTCATGACGCGCGCACGAGTCCTATCATGAAAAAAGGTTAATTGTGCGACCTGAGTAACGTGCAGTGAAGGGGGTGTCGGCAATTGTAATTGCGTTATAGTTACAGTAAGAGTAATAATTTTGATTACTCGTTACTAAAAAAAGGTAGCGGCGTTAGTAACGCTGTTACTTTCAACGCCGTTACTCCCATCACTGACCGTTAGCCATGTTTGTTTCTCCTCCATGAACACATTCTTATGTTTGCAGCAACCAGACGGCCTGGAGGAAAGCCAACCTGGCCAGCAAACTGTCCATTGACAAAATAGAGAAGCAGGCGCTGCTTAACGGGGCTGATGGCGCTGTGAGACAGAGGTATTAGAACCCTTTAAACATCCCAGTACCCTTAAGATTTATTTCAGTTTGGTTAAAGAGCTGTTTTTGATTTACCTGTCAGGAAGACGACCAAAGAGGGCCTCGCCCAAAACGCCAGCGACATCACAGAGAATCTGATGAGCATCAGCCGGATGATGGCGCAGCAGGTCCAGCAGAGTGAAGAAACCATAACGACACTAGGTCAGTGATTGAAAGGACAAATGTAGTGGTGGTGTATGGAAGCAAATTGTTACCATATTTCAAATGAAAAAGCTTTTTCATCTTAAGAATGTGGCCCCATTACTTTAATCATAAATAAAATTAGTAATCAATCATCCTATTTGCGTTTTAATTTTCTTCTTCAAGACTGCTCATCCTTCTACTTAATTAAAATGAAAAAGCGTTTCTGAAAATGTTTTTTCATTTGAAATATGGTAACGATTTGCTTCCATAATGGTGAGATGAAGCCTCAATGATTTCCTCAGTTCATGAAGCTTCATGTGAACATGTCGCCACCTACTGGTGGAGTGCAGAACTACAGTTAGTAATATAATCTGATTTTTTGCAATTGTTTTTTTTTTCTCATTTAATTTCCTTTTAAATTGTTAATGATTGGCGTGTATAATAAAAATTTTGTAATTTTTTAAAATCTTAAAATGAAAAGAACAATCAGGTACACTGTTTTTTTGCTCAAGCAGACAGTGAAAGTTTTTGTGCAAATTGGGCAATGAGGAGCAAATGAAAGCTGTTTGTCATTTTTATTCAAACATTATAGTTTTGTCCGGTTTTTTTAAACATATCTTTATTACCGTTTTCAACTTATACAGGAAAAGCTTTGTACAAAAGCATAAAAGCTTCTTATAATAAACTTAACAAGGTGAACAAACAAACCGCTACAACGACAGCAACAAAAAACCCCACACAAGACAGAAAGAAAAAAAGATAAAATAAATAAAAATAAGTAAGTCCATAAATTAAACTAAATCAGGAAAACCTGTAACAATATGTTCAAAAAAGAATAATAAAGAGTTCGGACAGTTTTTGGTTTTGATCGGGTTGGACGTTATGTGTTCAACCAATCTTTTGGCTAAACCAACCAATCTAATTTTGCTGTGTTTTTCTCAATCTATATTTCAGGGTTTCTGCTGGTTAAAAGTCATTAAATTATTATTTTTTAAATTAAGGCCTTGATTGGCATTAAAATTCATTAAATGTGATTATTTTGGCATTTAAACTGCTTTATTTAAAAAAAAAAAAGTTTATAAAAACAATTTCGTCAGATATATTATATCGCCATATATTTGTGCGGAACTGCTTCGGGTTGATCGTAAAGCCGTATGTTCGGCGAAAAAGCTTGAGGCGGAGAAAAAGCTAGAGAATGTGGAAAATGCGAATTTTAACAAGAAGTGGCTGGAAAATGAGGAATTCGGAAAATGGCTGCAGCCTGTCGACGGTAGAGATGATGAAGGATTTAGCCATATCATATATATATGGGCCATTAGACTGCTGAATGTTTTGTAAAATGGGCTATTGTATTTGTATTTTATTATATTTTATCATTATATATATATATATATATCGTATTTTCGTGACTATAAGGCAACAAGACGTTGTTGAGACCGCCATCAGAATGCAAATGGACAGAAACCTCTGCCTATGGTGATTTTTAAGAGAAAGACTTTGCCTAAAGAGACTTTTCCAGCTGGAGTCGTTATTAAGGCAAACGAAAAGGGCTGGATGGATGAGGAGATGATGAAAGCATGGCTGATGGAGGTGAATGTAAGGAGACCAGGTGGTTTTTTCCACGCATCACCATCGCTGTTAATCTGTGACTCCATGCGTGCCCATCTCACAGCCGATGTGAAAAACATGGGGAAACAAATGAACGCTGTGCTCGCCGTTATCCCGGGGGGTCTGACAAAGGAACTTCAACCACTCGACATCGGTGTGAAGCGGCCGTTCAAAGTAAGGCTGCGAGCGGCGTGGGAGCGATGGATGACCGACGGAGACCACAGTTTCACGAAAAGTGGGAGGCAGCGCCGGGCAAGTTACGCCACAGTTAGCGGATGGATTGTAGATGCTTGGACTAACGTGTCTGCCGGCTCTGTTGTTCGAGCTTTTGCAAAAGCCGGCATCATTTCCGAGGAGCCGCGCGGCACGGAAAGTGACTCTGACAGCGAAAAAGGGGAAATCGGCATGTCTGATTTAGCGCAGCTGTTTAATTCAGAAACAGAGGATGAGGACTTCGATGGGTTTGATTAATACTTTGTAATAAATACATGAATAAAGCACAAACATACTCCGTTATGCTCCCGCTCTATTTTTAAATATGCAGTAGAGGTATTTAAACGTAGTAGAGGACATTTACCGGTATATAAAACCCGCGCCCTATAATCCGGTGCGCCTTGTGTGTGTGTTAAATACAGTAATGGCACACATAACTGAGACTGCGCCTTTTAGTACGGTGCGCCTTATGGTCGTGAAAATACAGTATATATATATATATATATATATATATATATAAATGTTAGAATTGTAAATTTACAGTCATTTTTAGTATTTTTCAAGGCTGCACTTTTAAAAACGATGAAATTTTCCACAGAGCCGTTCCAAACAAAGTTTCTTTTTGTTTTACACTTGTGTAATCAAAATGACAAATAAAATCTGTCTAATCTAACCAAAATAGTTTTAACCAACTAGATTTGCTTTTTTTTCCAACCAATCTATTCTTAAAATCTATCCAAACTCTACTACAAACTCCAACATCTAGACTTAGATGTGAGTTTGTTTAAATGCCTGTCAAGGTTCTCGTGCGGTCTGAACCACTTCCTAAAGCGGTCACGTGGTAACGCAGTAGAGGCTTCGGACGTCATCAATTTTTACCCCTCCCCTAAACGCATCACGCCTCGACACGCTCCTCGGTGAAACGCCCCCCTCCATTACCGGACGCCTGAAAGCCTCGGCTCATCTCATAACATCGCTAGACAAATGTAAACCATCTGAAAGCAAGAAGCAGCACATGAGGATAAGATATGTTTGGTTTTCACTAATGTATGAATAATCCTGCAGTCCTTTCAGTAAAAAAAAAAAAAAAAGATTTAGAATAAATCCTGTTTTTCTATTCGGTTCCAGCAACGTCGTCGAGAACAATCCAAGAGACAAACGAGGAGTTTAAAGCCATGACTGGAACCATTCAGCTGGGAAGGAAACTCATCACCAAGTACAACCGCAGGGAGATCACCGATAAACTGCTCATCTTCTTGGCGTTGGCTCTGTTCTTTGCAACCGTCCTGTACATCCTCAAAAAGAGGCTCTTCCCTTTCTTATAGGCCAGAAGGTCGCCATCAGCTCCACACACAGGACCTTCCAAAGTCCAGATTCCATGCTGCTAAATATAAGGATAATCCTGCATGTCAGCAGCTCCTCTAAATGTTTAATTTATTGAGCTCTATATCTTTAACTGACTTAGATTTAAATCAACGGCTCAGCTATTGAGGACCAGAAGAGTCATTAAAAAAGAAATGCAACCATTTTGAATTTTATATTCAAATCATAGATCTCGAAATCCAAATAGTTTTATAATTGTACATTTTAAATGAATTAATTTAGAGGAAATTAATTGTATTTATTAATCCATTATTTAATACCACAATCTGTAAATATATTTAAAATTAGATTTTATTTGAATCTGATTATATTTACCTTTCCTTAACTGACATTTCATTTTTGCTTTTTACATTTTCCTATTCACTTTCCATTTTCAAATCCTTTTTCTGTTTTATTTTTTATTTTTATTTACTTGACCCTTTTTTTTTATATTTCTGTGACCAAACTACAGTTTATCAACATTTTGGTTACAGCTTATAACCAATTTAATAACAGTTTAATAACGGCTTGTTTACAGCTATGTAACTGCTTATTAACAAGTAAAGTTAAATAAAGAAATTGCAAAGTGAGACAGAAAATGTAAAAAAAGAATCTTCTGTATACATTTGTTTAATTTTTTTTTTTTTAGAAAGAATATTTTTTATATACATAAATTTTATATATATAAATAATAGTATTTTATTTTTTTAATTGTCGTATTTATATCGGATTGATAAATACAATTTGCAAGCTTAACAATTCATGCTTAGTGGTTTTTAATTAAAATGTACAATTTTAAGACCCTTTTCCAATTAGATTTTTAAATCGATGATTTAAATATTAAAATTGAAATAGTTATAATTGTTTTTCCGGTGACGCTCCTGGTCTTCCATACTTACGGACCAATCAGACTCTAATGTGTTTATGTTTTATGTTCCGTTTTCTTCTAAAAAGCAGGTGAATCTTAAAGATGCTGTAATTATATTTTTCTGTCAGTTTGTTCAGTTTTTAATTGGCTAACTGTTTTGAAACAACAACAGTTAACAATATAAGTGTTTCATATTTTAAAAAGCAACCTGTAAATGACGTTTAGACATTATTTTGGAGGCACTTCCAGGGCCTTCTGTGGATCAGAATGCTATTTTATCAGTTGTTTTTATTTAGCGTGAGACAAACCTTCAGCTGTAGCACTTTTTATAATTAATGCTTTATATAATTTATAGCTGCTTGATATTTTGCTCTTTTTATTTTTATTTTTTTACGGGTGGCTGTTATTACCTTCGTTTTCTCCTCTAAGCTTCAACCCAAACAGGATTTCATGCGAGCGAGTCGACGCTGCAGCCGAGCTGTTCACACCAGCAGAGATAGAGCCACATTCAGCCACTGCCTTTCTTCCGATAAGACCCGGAAAAGCAGATTATGGCTGGAGACCCCCCTCCCTCTCCTTCTCTTATTCCCGTGTGGGTGGTGAATGAGTGAGGGTTGATATTTTTAGGTTTGTGCGCTGCCGTTATCTGACGTTGCCTTTTCAGCACCTCGGAGGAGAAGGTGGTTGGAGAAGCTACATGACCTTGCTACCCTCTGTACCGCTTTCCATTGCCTTGTTGTTTATCCTTTCAGTTTTTTTCTGCCGTCTGTTTGCAATAAACATGGATTCGTCCTGTTTTACATTTGTGGCGTGTCGCTGAATTGTGTCTATTGTTTTAAAGAGGATGACGGACAGAGTGTGTGTGAAGAGATCTGAGAGATGTGTAAGCATCTCCTTCTCATCTGAAGTGGAGGCAGTTGGGCTGAGCCAGCTCCTCCACTGTTCCTATAACTGGACACTTAGACAAGGTACTCTGTTAAGCAAATTACACTATTCTTGCATTTAGAGCAGAGATATTGTTAATCGAGTGCTTTGGTTTGTGTATCAACAAGTGGGCCGGTGGTCCCTGAAGAGCACGCTGCTGCTGCGCTGAGGGTTATTAACAAGAGGCGCCCAAACTTCAGCAGCTTTACGTTTAACATACAGTTATAGGGTCATTTTTTATAATGTTAAAGACAATCAAAGACCAAAGAAGTTATATATATATATTTTTTAGATTTGGATGCACTGGAGGCCTTTTGTTAAATACTAATTGGAATCAAACCAGGATTCCTGTCTCCACACTGCAAAAGATTTTAATCTAGATAAGTCATTTTTTTCTAAAAATAAGTGCATTTGTTCTTGAATTGAGGAGGTAAAAGAGACATTCTGCCAACAAATTAAGACAATTTACACTTAAAATAAGAAAACACAATGGCATTGTCTTATTCCAAGTGCATATTATCTAATTATCTTATTTTAAGAGTAAAAATACTCATAGTATCTCATTTACCTACTCAAATTAAGGGTGAATACACTTAATTTAGGAAATTTTAACTTATTTCTAGATCATTTTTGCAGTGCATATATGGTGCATCTGCTTTAATGCATGGCACCTTTAGGACTAATGTTCCGTATATGTTTTATAGAATAAAACATGAACTCGTCAACTGTAACTGTCTTATTATTTTAAAATTAATTAATGTTAAATTCATACAGTAGGTTCTCATTCTGGCTGAATATTGATTGATTGACTTTATTGATCTCACAGTGGAGAAATTTAAACGTTAAATCAGCTGAAATAGTCAGAGGAGAAGAAGAAGTTGCAATAGGAAGGAAAAAGATGCGTGGGATATATACAGTTTTTTTTTGTAGGATTATTATACAGTGTTATTGCACAGTTATTGCAATGTGTGTCATGTGTTAGTTTAGCCTTCTAGGCTTTGTTTTTGTTCCATGTATGTTTACCATAACAGCATCATGTTACAGAGATTAATTTACTCAGTTCAATTTGCCAACAACCTGAAGCCTGGCCTTATTCTGTCATTGTTAAAGGAAAAGTTCAGTCAGCAAGGAATGATCAATGGATCGTTATTATACCTAAAACTAATACGTTTGTTGTGATTTAATGACTTTAGCCTTAATGAGTTAAAAAATATATATATTTTCGGCGCAATCTCTGGTTTTCAGATTTCCAGAGGACTTCACCATTGAAATTCACCAGAGCTATAGTTAATCTGACAATGCCCACGTGCATGGCAGCTGGATGCTGGAACATAAAAGTGAAAAAAAAAAAAACGAGTTATTTCACCTTTCTGATTCCTGATCCTCCACGGACGGGTTGGTCGTTGGATCGCCAACTTGAAGAGGGAGGATTTGCCATCGAACTTCTGGCCAGAGAAAAAACCCGTAATATGTAGCCAACATTTGGAAGAAGAATGTTTTCAAGATGACTTGGATAATAGCGCGTTGTGACAAACACCAGATACAGCACTGGGACTTGATCAACAGCCGATACCGCACCGTGACGTCACAAACCAGTAGGTGGCAGTAGTGTTCATTGACAAACATGGATGCCTCCAGTAAAGCACATTCACATGAAAATTACTCTGAATTAAAACACTTATCATTAATTGAACAGTGTTTTATAATTTCATATTTAAAGAACTTTCAGAAGTTTGAATTCAGAATATGACCAAACTTTTCCTTTAACTGGATTTTGGACTTTTTGCATATAACCTGACTATATACCTTTAAGTTTGTTTCCAGCTAGTTTAGCTGCAAAGTTAATACTAAAAACATCATTAAATCTACATAATATTGTTGTTTTGTGATTGCTGCCACAATATTCTTTATATAAAAATTGATTTTGTCCTTTATAAATATTTTATTCCCATATTTGTTTATGATAACTGCATGTACACTGCAAAAAATGGAAATCTAAGTAAGTAATTTTTCCTTAAAGTAAGTGCATTTTTTCTCCAATTGAGGACGAAAGTGAGATACTTTGGCAATGGAACAAGACAATGTACACTTAAAATAAGAAAAAACAATAGCATTATCTTATTTCAAGTTCATATTATCTAATTATCTTATTTTGAGAGTAAAGATACTAATTTCATTGGCAAATCCTCATATTTACCTACTCAAATTAAGGGTAAGTACACTTAATTTAAGAAATTTTTACGTATTTCTAGATTGTTTGTTTTTGCAGTGTAGCACCTCTTTACCAAACCTAATTCCTCGTATGTGTAAAACCAACACAGAAAAACACAGATGTGTCCCAAAACAGTTTTTTCAATTCCGATGCAATATCAAAGATTTGATTATTGATGGATGACAATATTGACCTGATACGATATTTACTTTTATACTCATTTAGAAGTGTTAGAAAATACCTGATCAAAGGATTTGACTGAGAGCAACCGATCCATTTATGTTTCAGCTTTAGATTACTGAAACTTTAAACAGAAGTGGAAGGTTTCTATCGACCTGCTTATATCAGGGATTTTAGAGGCAAGCCGATGTTTTCCAAATATTGTTATCGAACTGATCCCTAAAATAGCTACGTTTCCATGGACACCAATAATCAGAGTAAAGTCCTGATTGGAAAAGTTTAATGTAAACATGTCAGACTGAAAATTCTAATCCGGTTCACCCTGATGGGAAAGAAGTTTGATTCTGAAGGAGAGAGGAGGTTCTTTCCAATCATCAATATCGTGCATGTGTCCAACGTCAGCGTAAGGTTTTTAATCTGTTTTTTTTTAACCCTTTAAAGCCCGATCCAAGAAAAAAACAAAATAGAAAATTACTTTTTTTGGTTTGAAGTCCTTTTTTTGGCCTTTTAACAAAATATGTAAAAAGAAAAAACAGAAATACATTTTTGATATTAATATTTTATTACTATGCGATAAGTCAAGATTATTTTTTTTGTAGTCTTCTGCCCTTTTGAGCAAAGTTTTTACCATTAAATTATGCAAAAGGTGTCAGACGCAAAACATTTCAGGAACCGTAAGTATCAAATATGATACATTTGGCATTACAGGGTTAAGAAAGATGGACAGTTGTGAGCGTGTTTAAATGATTTATTCTGATCGTGCATACAGGTACACTAACATCATGACTGTATCATTTTATTTAGCGTCCATGTAAACAGAGGATGTGAGTTTCCGATCAGCCAAAATTTAGTTCGGATTGGGCAAATCTTACGGATGTAAATGTACCTAATAAAACATTTTTAATCGATTCTAAAGTCAAACGTTTCTAATTGGTGAGTTTCAAGGCAATCGGTGCTTTATGAACTTAAACAGAGCACTGTGGTTGTCAGGCAAAAGGATTACATCACTTAAACAC